AATGTCTAGAAATTTGAAGAGAACCTCTCATTAGAGGTGCTCTTGCTCTTAGTAAAGATCAATCAACGGTCCAAATAAATTAGGGGTTAAAAGTTTAGAATAATGATCACATATAAAATCAAAAGTTACACAATAACATTGGTAAAGAAAAGATGTTAATGTTATCAACGTTCTCTTAATGGTTACCTTGAAAACTGACAAAACAAAAACATAACTAATGATGGGTGGCATTAATTCGGAGTTTACTATCCTTAATGCACGTTAACAAAAACTTGGGTTTAAAATCATCATTAAATCTTCAAAGTCAAAAATAATCAAGAGTGTGTATATATAGATGCTAGGCCACGTATACAAACTGAGATTATATTTAAAATCGAGATTAAATTAGACGGTGAGCACGAGTGGAGAGTGATGTGGACACATCGCGTACACTCATAAAAATCCTCCAAAGTGAGAGTTTACGGATACTTTAAATCTCCAAATTTTTTGACTAATAATTTAAGTAGAAAATAAACAGTTTTGTTAAGTTTTATGACGACACGTATCATTTTGGTGGTTTACTGTGTTAGTAGTACCAAATTAAATGTTTAAATGTTAGTCAAACTTTTTAGAGATTTAAAGTGTCAGTGTCTCTAAAGTTTTTAATATGATTTTCCCTTTTTAATTAGTATCTTGAACTCTTATCCCATTTTTAAACTCCTATCACCAGACAAGCTTCACTTTTAATTACTCCGGTAAACGAGCAAAAAGATGACGATTATAGGCACACATACTCAAAGAGTATCCATTTTTATAATCAATTATTAGATTACGAAATAAGACCCTTATCTAGACAATTATACTCGTTAGAGTTTGAATGATGATGACATATTAGAAACAAGTATCGTGGGAGTTGTAGAATGGTTAAAATAGATAAAACAAAAAAATTTACAAGTTACAATTAACAATCAAATTTTAGCTAATCTGTTATATAACATTTTAGAATATCGGAATTTGTTTCGCCATAAAACTAATACGATCATAAAACTAATTCATACTTATAATTTTGTTTTGTGAAATAATTGTTTTACGCATGCAACAAAAATAAAATTTAGCAATGGAAGCACCACGCAGAGCCGGATCTGAGGGAAGTTTTTTGAAACATTTGAATAAGACCCCATCTTAGGAGGGGCCCCACTTAAAAAAAAAAGCTTTGCTTGCAATGAAAGTTCGGCCATGGAGATCCGGTGAACGACGGCAACTCTTTGAAGATTAAGGAAGACGCAGTTCGTCTTTAATGCCACATGGGTTCCTTTGATACATATAATAATATTGTGTGTTGTTTAATTTGGGCCGTTTGGGCTTCCTAATGAAAACTGTTTGTTAGAAAAAAAAAGTATTATACAAAAAAGAAAAGAGGAAAACTTGTTCTCCACCCCAAGTAGACATCTCTGTCTTCTCGTATAGGGCCCCAAATATCTCAGATCCGGCTCTGGCACCACGCAAACCCTTGGTTGTATTGTATAGTTGCATTATTCCGACTCGGTTCACTAAAAAAAATCAATAACAAGACATTAAAGTAAACTCCTTTGACTAATCGGTGGTCTAATCCAATAATTTTTTTTTTTGCTAAATATGATCCAATAATTTATAAATTTAAACTCTGTTGGTCGAAGAGTTATGTATCTTAAGCCAATCTTTGATTAGTATCAGTATATCTACCGACTTCTAGAGATTTGATGTAACTAGATATAGCTGCAAGGAATTGTGGGGTAAAATCTTATTTTAATTTGGACAATCGTGATTTTGTAAGCTGTCTCAATGCTTCGTGTGTTTCGCGAAGTGTCTTTTTGTTGTTTCAATGCAAAACATATCAGAAAGAATTGTATTTTCGTATGCCCCCGAAGTTTTAGATATTTGGCAAACACGTCCCTCAAAACGTTTATATTATCTCATTAAATCTCATAAATATTATTTACATCTTCAAATCCTCTATACTGTATATTGATAGAAGTGACGCTAGGTAAAAATTCTAAATGCGAGAGTTTTAAAGAATTCATTTTTTAATAAAAATTATTAAAAATTTTATTAACAAATATATGAAAATAACGAATATGACAATATGTGATAATTAATATACATAATTTTATTTAAGAAATATAGAAAATATTTGAAAATATCTTATTTTCTTTTCAATAATACTAGATTTTTTTATCCGAGTCAAAAGCGGTATTAAGATATTCAAAAACAAAAATTCATGATTATTTTTAATAGATAGGATAAATGAAAATTAACAAAGATAAAATATATTTATGTTTGATCAAAATTTAGCTTTATTATATGTATGCACAATATATATCATTTTGTGTGTTTATAAATATTAGAAAATACGTCTAAATATTAAATTCGATTAAAAACATATTTAATTATTTAATCTCACGTTTGGCGTAGGCCAAAATCTAGTAATATGTTAAACACTTAAGCATACACTTTTTGTTTTTCTTTCAAATTGGCTTATACATATTTTGATATTAATTTCATGAATCAAACCGTCGTTTAATTCTTAGGAGTTAGGATGATGTTGAATCATTAAAAATAAATCCGTAAACAAAAGCAACGTCGTTTTAGTCATTTTTATACATATAACCAAGACGACATTGAGCTAGTATATTATATGTAACCTCCAAGGTATTTTTGATAGGTATGCATTATACTGCGTAGAAGTAAAAACCTAGCTCTGTTTATCACTGAACCAAAACCATATCAAAATCGAACCTCTCTTTGACATTCCTTTGAAATTAATGAAGCCTATCATATTGAAGTTGATGTGGTTCTACATCAAAATATCGCTCGGCAATAGATAACCAAAGAAAAAATCATTTGACAATCAAATCTGAGATTAGTCCATGGGGGCAAAAAATAAGTCATTGGGTTACGGTGATCTTGGTGAGGTGCGAGTGGCTGAGAGGAAGCTCGAGTTGGAGTTCTCAATGGCAATAACAACGAGTTCTCATTAGTGGTTGAACAAGAGGGCATTTTTGTGGGATCAAATTGCATACATTCATGTTCTGATTCGAAAGCGATAAAATGATCAAAGGTATTTATCTGTTTCTCGCGGGCGGCTTAGCTCATAGACTAATACACCTACAATAATCTTATTACCCATGACCTTATGTGATTGATGATGATTCATTTTTTGTTCTTCTCCCTAACTAAGATCCATCATAACACTAATCTAATTCAACCAATTGATACCAAAAACAAATCTTATATCCTTCAAAGGATCCTAACAAAAGCTCTTCATCAACAAATCTTCAAGGAAGATTTCTATCATTTCCCCAATGAAAAGGCCAAAATAAATACAACCGCATTTTGTTCATATATATAATTGCATGATGATTATAAAAAGATTTTAACGAGTTCTAGAGATTAAAATTATACATTCATTATACCAACGAAACCAAAATAAAATGAAAAAGAGAGTTTGGACTCACATATCAAAGATTTACTTCCCAAACAAATCAACCCTGTGCATTAGCTCCAGCAACAATCTCAAGAATCTCACCAGTAATCTTAGCTTGACGCTTTCTATTATACACCATAGAAAGCGATTTCTTAAGATCCGAAGCATTATCCGAAGCACTACTCATTGCACTCATTCTAGCTGCAAGCTCACTCGCCAATGATTCCTGTAAAGCCCTAAGAATCTGACTGTTAAGATACAAAGGCAACAAGGCATCAAGAATCTGAACAGGGTCTTGCTCGAATTGCAAGATCGGCGAGAAATCAGCGGTCGGTGTCCTAAAAGTCTCTCTTTCGACAGTCAATTTCCCTTCTTTCGTCGTTAACCTGAACAATTCATCTTCTGCAGCATCCACACAATTCCCATTGATGTCACAAATCTCTCCTTTAGGTGATAAAGGCAATAACGTGTGGATCACGGGTTCTGATTTGACCAAAGACACAAACTTTGTGTACAAAAGCTCAACTTTATCGACTTCTTCGCTTATAAACAGAGAGAAGACATCATCAGCAACAGCTTGAGCTTCTTTAGCCGTCGGTAAAGTCCCGGCTTCGAGATATTTGTCGACGGGGATGTACGGACGACGGAGGAAATAGGTATTTCCCTTCTTCCCCACGCTAATGACAATGTAATCAAGACCTAAACCTTTAAGCTCTTTGATTCTTGCCTCTGCTTTCTTGATGATGAAGTTATTGAATCCACCGCATAACCCTCGGTCTCCGGTCACGACAACGAGTGCTACTTTCTTTACCGGTCTGATTTTGGTTAAAGGAACATCGATATCATCGGTTTGAAGCTGTTCGTTGATGTTGTAGAGAACTTCAACTAGGGTTTCAGAGAATGGTCGTCCATTCACGACAGCTTCTTGAGCTCTCCTGACTTTTGCTGCTGCAACAAGCTTCATTGCTTCTGTGATCTTTTGAGTGTTTTTGACTGAATCGATTCGGTCTCTTAGCTCACGGAGAGAGGATTGGATTGGAGAAACAGAGGAGGATCTTGAAGGTGTGGAGTTGTGGTTTGGGAGAGGAAGTGGGTTGAGAACAGATCGGAATGATAAGGAAGATGAATCAGAAAGTGATGGTTTTGATGAAACCCACATTGTTGGTAGATTTGTGCAAGCCATTGTTCTTGATCTTGCTCAGAGAGGAGAGAGGAGAGAATTGTTGTTTGATCAGACAGTGTTTTGGTTTAACCTTATCTATCTGTTCTTTTGATTGTAAGATTGAAGAAGAGAGGAAAATTGAGTGGAGGGAAGAGAGAGAGATGGATTAGGTTTGGAGATAAGGTTTTTACATTTGGTTTTTGGAGAAACAAATGGTGGGATCTACTTTGTTGACGTGGCGTTATATTAGTGGATGTTCTGAGATTTTCAGTTTTTTTTTTGTTTTGTTTGTGTGGTATATCTACTTCTATGTTTTATTAGCCAACCATTGCTTATGAGTTTTTAGTCTCTCACAATGAGAGAAAATATCTGATTACAAAGGATATTCGGTTGGGTTTGATTTGGTACGCTTTTGGTTTATTACTAACCAATAGAATATATTCCAATAAAAATACCTTCCAAGTTACATTCACTATGCAATTGGACTGGTTCATAGTATATGGTTTTATCTGTTCATTAAACATAGCTATTCGTAATTTAATGCTAAAAGCCTAAAATACATGCCAATCAAGATATCTCACAAGTTGCATACACTATGGAACAAGGCTGGTTCACAATATATGTTGTGCTAGATTTTATTCCGCGCCCAAGCGCGAGATTAATTTATTGAATAAATTGATTAATCGATTTTTACATATATAAATTTTGATATTTAAACATGTATGACAAAGCATATGACTTTTTATATCTGCAAACATACAAAAATGATATGTATTGTGCTTAAATGTAATAAACTTGAATACTTTTGATCAAACGTATGTTAATGCTATTAGTTTAAATATTTTTATTTATAAATTGATCAAAACATATACAAATGTTATTTATTTTAATATCTTTTAAATATAAAATTGATCTTCATCATTTAAAAAAATGCCACTTTTCAAGTGTCATTTTACAAAAATGCCATATTTTTAAAATCTTTACAAAAATGCCACTTTTTCAAAATTATTTTTTCCTTATATTATTTATGTTTGAGTTAATTATGTTCTATTAGGGTTTAATTACGAGGGTTTAGGGGTCAAAATATTTTTTAGTGTCTATAATTTTAAGATATAGGGTTTAAAAATCTATAATTAGTAGCATTTTTGTAAATGAACACCCCTAAGTGGTATTTTTGCAAATGTGAATATAAAAAGTGACATTTTTGCAATTTTCTCTTCATTGTTAATGTAATTTACGGAATATAAGATAAATCAGATAAATTTTAGATTTATATGAATTGTCGACATAACAAACAGAAAACAATATATATTTTCCAATAAGAAAATGTATAAATATTTGTAAGTGTGATTAAATATATATAATAGCGTATTTATCATAAGAAAAATATTTGTATAGTGTAATAATCTAAATACATAAATACACAATAGATAATTGTTATAAATATAATAATAAAAACCTCATTAATGTATAAAAAAATAGATGTTCTGGTAATTCTAAAATACTAGATTTTTATCCCGCGTCAAATGCTGGATTAACATATTTGAGAATATAAAATATACAAAAGAACTTTAAAAAAAAACAAAAAATGAAGTAAATCTCCCTGAAACTTTAAGGGCCACAACAAAAATTGGACCAATAATTATTGATGTTTTGAAAGAAAAAATTAAACCAAATGTTTAAAGGGTTAATCGAACCCTCCACCTCTTCTTTATTCTATATAGCCCATGAACAAATTGAACTAAATAAATTTTATGCATATCAATGAGCCGATGATATATATAAACAAAACATCAAAAATTTTRGATTCAAACTTATTTGAGCCCACCAAACCCAAAAATATAAAGTTAGTATGTAAATTTTCTT